GATGCATAGCAAATGATTGCAAAGATCATGGCCTGTATCAGGCACACCTTAGTCTCCAGATGAACATTGTTGTTCTTCAGTACTTTGGAGAGGTCTCTGACAACAGACTTTCCCAATACAGTACGTCTTTTAATTTCCTGGCTGCTGGTGCCAAGAGTGTTGATACAGACTGGTAAAAGATAAAATTGAGTAGAAAAGAAAGCTGATTTACTTTCTCTACTGGAAGAGACAGTATGGCCATACAACCCTGAACGTACCCAATCTCGTGTGACCTCAGAAGCTAAGCAGATCCTGGTTAGTACTTGGATGGGAGATCAGCTAAGAATGGCAGGTACTGAATGTAGGCTTTTAGGAGCTCTGGTGGTCTAGTGGAAAGGAGTTGCTCTGCCAATCCAAAGGCACTTGATTTTAATCCACCAGCTGCTCTGTGGGGGAAAGATGGGCAATGCACAAACTTTGAAAAAAAAAACAAACCCCTCAGAACCTCTGAGTCAGTTCTGACTGGATAGCATGTAACAACAGTTGGGAGAGGCAGAGATGTGGCCTGAAGAAAACACTGAGCAGGGTTACAAGAAAACTCTGTTCTTTCTTTGTCTATGCTTTAAGTATGAGTTCTGGTTGAGCACTCATCTTTCTCTGTGCCTTAGTTTCTTGCTTGGTTGGGAGGAATTGCATGAGCTACTAATGGGGTTGTAGTAGATCTATTTTGAGCTTAGTCCATACTTCTAGAGATCCAAAAGAAAAGTTCTGACCATTCTTATAAGAACATTATGTGGTAGGGAAATCTGGACAGTCAGAGCTTTAAATTCCTTCTGAGCATAAACAAAGCAGAACAACTGAGGAAGCAGGGCTGACAGTGGCCCTCTGCACATATACAGATGAAGCAGCAGCAGGACGCTTTCCAAAAGGCCCTGCTCAGGGTCCTTTACCCAGGGCTCTGGGTGGGGGGGGGGGTCCTCCTGATTTTCATGTTGACAGTGAACTGCTCTTTGGTCCTGGCAGGCGTTGACCCTCACTGGGGAGGCTCCTGCTTATCATCTGTCCCCTTCTGCACTTTTAAACTCTTCACACTGAAATCTTGGCAGCAGCTGAGGAATATCTGATGCATCTCTAGTGAAGAATTCCTGCAGTGGAGAAAGGCACCTCCCCAAGCCTGATATGGAAATGCCCAGACTTCTTGACCCTAGGGACTCTGATGAGAAATGGCCTGAGTCTGCCAGAGAAGGCATTCCAAGGCACAAAACTCAGAGTGGATGTTTGAATATTTCCTTTTCTAGCTTTCAGGCAAGAGAAACCCTGCAAACAGTGACTCATGCAAGGGAGAACGAGTGAGCTGTGGGACGATGTGAGGAGACGCAGGCCATTACCAACAGAGTGACACCCGACACCTGTGATGCCCTCTTCCACGGTTAAAAAGAGTCCAAGGTGACTGTTCTGCCCTCCCCTCTCCCAGGTCCCCCCGGGATGCGGATGAAATGTGGTATGAGGGATGCCAGTGAGAGAGGAGCATTCCAGACACTGTAGGCCTGGCTTCTCTGTTTCATAGGTCAGGACCTGCCATTCTTTCAGTCACTTGGGCCTGACCTTTTTCAAGTCTGAACAAACATAAGACCTAGTGAATTTGCTCAGTCTGTCTCCAAAGAGAATGACTAAAATCTACCAGCCATATTTTTCCATGGAATCCATTCTGTTTCCTCAACTAAAAACATACAGAAAAGACTATCATAGCAAGGTTTAGTGCAAAAAATAAGTTGCCACTTAATGGAAAGCTATTTATTTTCTGTATTATTTTAGTTCCCTTCCAGGAAGTTCAGCTAGGCTGATCATAACAGCTCTAGGTCCTTGTTTATTTTGCATATTCCATTAAGCTCCTGTCTCTTGAGATGCTGTCAGAAAGGGTTTCCGTGGATGAATAAATTTGGAAAACTGCATACATAATAAAATTTTTAAAAACTGCATCCTGATACATTGGACACTGCAAGTCCTGCATTAAGAAACCTGCTCAATCTATAACCAGGAGAAGATAAAACAGATGAATAGGACCTTCTAAGAATCAAATCCCTATGCACATC